AGGACATACAGTTGTGTTTGTGTGTTGTGTATCAGCGTAGCTACTCTGTTATTGTCAAAGCTTGATCCTGTCAGATCTCAAAAGCTCAGAGGCTGGGCCTGGTCAGTACCTGGATGGGAGACTTCTGAGAAAATCAGGTGCCACAATGGGGCACCAGTCGCAAAAACTGTTGTTGTGTCCGTTAGGCAAGACACTTCACCCACATTGCCTCGTATGAAAGTGGTGTATGTGTGTGAGGGATGGTGGTGGTCAGAGGGACCAATGGCACAGATTGGCAGCCGTGCTTCAGTCAGTTTGCCCCAGGGCAGCTGTGGCTACAGTAGGGGTTTACCACCGTCGGGTCTGGAATGACTGAATACTGCTCTGTAAAGTGTCTGTAAAGTGACAAATGTTTGTGAAAAGCGCTATATAAATAAATACTTACTTTACTTACATAGTTATTCTATACTTGGGTTAGGGTACTTGTTCCATTGAAGTCGCTTCAGCAAGTCCAGGCTTATTCTAAAATCCTGAGCTGAAAATAACTCCATCTTTAGCTTAAGCCTCAACTCATTCCATGACAGAAATAAGCCTGAATCTCACCAAAGCTAACTCAGGCCTGAAGTTTAAGCTGCACTTTGTGCTCACGGTGACTCTGAGAAGGCCAGAGCAATGGAGCAATGACATGACGGAAAATGGGCTCAGAGTGTAACTTTTTTTAATGATCTGACTAAAAGAGTGAGGAGTCACAGTGGCGCACGGACAAGAGTTTGATTTGGGACGCAGAACTTTTCCAATCATTTTGATCTGAGGACCAAGAGGAAAGACACGACTCCACCTCCTGTCCTGTTCACTCCCCCTCCGGTCTCTCCGTGGACAGAGAGGAGGCTGCGTAGTGTGAAGCCTGGTTAAAATGCCCGGGGAATGAAGTTACCTCACCTCTTCTTCCCGATGCGTGGTAGTATGCGTGGAGCTTAAGTTCGGCTGTGCGTAAAAGTCAAGCTGTAGCAGAACTATTCACATGTAGCCTTGAAGAAACGATAAAATCCGGGCCGAGGTGTTTGCAGTTTGACAGGGAGCGAGAGACGAGGGAATAGAGAGAAAGAGAGAGACGTAATGAAGGAGTGAACAGACAGAACTCACTGAAAACCAGTTCATCCCCTTCAAAACAAAAGTCTAATCAACTAGAGATTTTGCAACCCCCCCCCCCCCCCCCCATTGAAGACCTCTGCTTTACAATATTATTTTGATATTTACAGGGTGAAAAGTGAAGTAGTAGCTCATCCACTGACCTGAAGAAAAACCCACTGTTGGCTGTGCGATTCCAGCTCCCAGAATGTTATGTCGTTGTGTCCTTGGGCAAGACTCTTAACCCACCTTGCCCCAGTGCCCCTGTATATTCCTTGATGCAAAGTGCTTTGAGTACCTTGAAGGAGGAAAAGCGCTCTACAAAAATGCGACCTTTTACCAGTTAATCTTGAAAAACTGAACCTTTAACACCCACGTCTGCCCACTTCAGCTGCCACTAAGTTTGTAACAATAACTTTGATTAGTATAGACACTTTACACGAGCCGTCAGGAGCACATAATGACTGTTTTATATGACTTTATGTTAATGTCATTTCAATGTAATATTATATTTTCAGTGGATTTCCCTGCGTGAGCTGCTGACTCGCTGTGGTCGGAGGCTGAGTGTGAATGAGCTGTGGGCCCTGTGTTACACCTGCCTGTCCTCTCTGCAGACATACATCGACTTCCCAGGTCAGATACCCAAAAAAAAAGTACAAGAAATGCAATTATATTATACAGAAATTATGAAATAAGCTTTTAATTGCAGAAAAATACAGAAAAAGTGAGTCAGATGTGATGTATTGAATAGATAAACCTTCTAAAGTCACATTTTTCTAACTAAAGAAAAAAAAAAAAGGATCATATCAAGACAGTATCATAACCAAAAGTACTGATAGTTTTTGTTGACTGTAAAAACTGTACATAAATGAATGAAATAAGTGGAGCCAGACAGATTGTGGAAGCTGAAACATCATTAACAATTTCTTTTTCTATTTAAACACGTCTAAAACTAAACATATTTTTAGTTAATTGGGTTTTAGTTGAAAGGAAAAACATCTGGCTGTGACTAGATGACAATAAATGGTAGAAAATGCAGTTGGTGTTTCAGTTCATGCTTGAGTTTTATTTAAAATACTAAAATGAAGAAGGAAATACACTGAACTTCTGTGTTCTTATTCCTGTTCTTGTGTTCTGTCCTTGCAGCGTATCTTTCCCTGGACACGGTGTATGTGGGCTGTGAGGGGGAGGTACTCTTCTTAAAGCCAAAAAACATAGGTATTTTTACATTGTTCGTCTAATACTGAACTGAACTATGTGGGATTTGTTCCTTCTTCTTACAATGCGTTTATATTCACTAACGGTATCATTTCAGGTTACTGTGATGAATTCTACCTTGCCCCTGAATATCAAGAACACGGAATAGTCACTGAGAAGGTTTGTTTTGTGATTTTGTCCACACTTTGTCTTGTCTCCATGGAGATGTACCGTATTTTTTGGACTATAAGTCGCACTTAAATTCCTTTAATGTTCTCAAAAATCGTCACTGTGCCTTATTTATTAATTCTGGTTGTGCTTACTGACCTCAAACAGATTTTATGTGGTACATGGTGCTCAAAAATATGTCAGAATGTTTTAGTACAACAAGCCGCACCATTTGATGGACTGTCGCAGCATTAAGGTTACCATAGTCAGGAGCCCAATTTACCATTCCAATCCACTTTATTTGTATAGCTCATTTCACACAAAACTGTTTCTAAAGTGCTGCACAAATACATAATAACAACAATAATAAAATGGTAAAATAAACACTCAGATGCTAGTCCTAAAATAATAATAATAAAAGCAGTAAAATTAAATAAGAGCAAAATAATAGAATAGCAATAAATAAATAAAACCGAAAAATACATTAAAAGTAAATGGCAAGGAGAAAATTCAGTTTGTCGACTGGACAAAAGTTAGTTTGGTTGAAGAAGTTCTGAGAACTGAAGAAGCAGCTTGGATGAGCTGCGAAACGTCTTCAATCAAACTAACTTTTGTCTTTGGATTCTACCTGGATGACTGAGGGATTCTTCTGACATATAAAATAAATAAAAGACACAGAGGACCACACAACTCACGGTCCTTAGTCCAACAGAAGCTGACCACATCAGCACAAAAGGAGCAAAGGAATGAGCCGTTTTTTTATAGTTTATGCAAATGAGTGATGTGGTTTTAAGTTTCATTTCTGTAAAATGTAAACAAATGTGCACAAAGCTGCATTAAACACATTATTACTCAGTGTATATTTGAGTCCTCCTCAAAGGAAATAAAAAAACAAACTTAACTTATCCACACACATTCACATTCAGTATACACATTCACCAAGACAGGGAGGCAACGCCGGGCGAATTACACCACGATCTGCCAATGGATCGTGGACGCCTGGACTAAAGGATCAGTCTCAAGTGTCGTCCGTTTGTTTCTCTTAATGTGCCTTATATTTGAAAATAGAACCTTATGTTTGAAAATAGATGAGAGAATTCAACATTATTGATATAGTTCCTTATAATCCAGTGCGCCTTATAGTCTGAAAAATACGGTAATTGCTTCGTCTGGAATGTCCCAAAGTATTGCATTAATCATATCTGTATCTAGCATTCATTTAATAGTAAGTGTACTTAAAATAGCTTGAAAAACATGCATTATTTATGTGAAAAGGCCTCTCCTCTCTTTGCCTGTCCCATTAGAGTTACTGTATGTTTAGTTTAATGTCAAACAGAGTGACCAGAAAGGTTACGCAGTGCACCTTTACAACAGGACATACCTAATGAAGTCATAAAAGTATCTCATCTCATATATCTCATATATTTTAGGTGTGTATCTATGGCATCGCTGCTATCCTGTGGGCTACGGCAAAGTTCAATTTATCGGCGAATCAGAAGCTGGCCATGCCCCGTAAACTGAAGAGGCTTTTACTGGAGATGGCCAAGAGGACGCCCATCGAGAGGCCGACTATTGTCTCAGCTAAAAAGGTTTGTTGTTTCTTATATGTTTATACTGTATATCTTTCCCTTCTGGATCATTATAGTTTGATTTTCTCCTGCATGATTTAAAAACTAGCTGAAAGGTGTGACAACTAATACTCTTTGCTTGTGTTATGATGAAATGATAATGATACTAACCATCGGGGTGTAACAATAACCAAAATATCATGATATCGTGTTGTCAAAAATCTCTCAGTAATATCGTGCACCATCACAATGCCGAATCACAAGTTTCTTTGCTTAAATTCATTGTTATGATGCAGCAATAGCTAAAAAAACAGAGAGAACTACACTGACCATGATCCTTTGCTCTGTTTTAGTCCACACTACATGAAGAAATAGTAGTTCTGGGCACTTTTAAATCTTAATACTTTGAATTAAATCTTGTCAAGGCATTACAAGAGGAAAAAGTAGCATATTCACAATTTTGTTCACAGCCTCCACAAAATATCACAATAAATATTGTACCGTGAGATGTATATCGTGAAAATATCATACCGTGAGCTTGGGACATAACAATATCAAAATCCCTTAATACAATACTTTCACGATCTGCATCTCACAGTTTGATATTTATTATTATATTTTGTGGAGGCTTACAGAATTGTGGATATGCTATCGTATTCTGATGGATGCTTCAGTTAGAAAGCTTTTAATTTGTGTGTGATTTATCACGGGCACGGGCGGGTAACGGATGAAATGTTAACGGGTCCGGGCAGGTGCGGGTTTAATTTTGATAAAATCTCGGGTTTACGGGCGGGTGTGGTGCTGAACTGCGCAGGTGAGTGCGGGCGCGGGTCTCCAAAAATGGACCCGTGCAGGACTCTGATGGGGGTTACATGCTGCCATTCTGACATTGGCGTCTAATTGTCGGAGCGGCGGCATTTCCATTTTTTATCAAACGTCCATGGCCTGCACTCTGACATATCTTTTTTTTCCTTGGTCGGCGTAGTGGCACTTTAGTTTTTTTTTTGTTTTTTTTTTTTTTTTTCCAACATTCCTCCATTCTGACACAGAAGGTAATTATTAAATTGCGGCGGCGCTCTTTTCGGGACATTATTTTCACGGACTGGCGGTGTAGGAGGCGCGGTGTACGCTGGGTATTGGAGGCGACGTTAATTCCTGGTTTAGACCTGGTTTAGATGTACATATCACAAATGAGGCAACAGTAGCTTAGTTGGTGAATCACAGGTTGGCGGTGTGATTCCAGCTCCTACAGATGAAAATAATATGAGCCTATGTTGTCTTGTTTTACTTAAAATAGAGTTTTTAGTCACGTGAGGCGATCTGTCCATTATGAACAACCGAATTACTCAAGAAGAGAGAAAATTATAGCTTTTGTTTCGAACGGACCTTAAGTACAGAATGAACAGTTGATAATTATACTGCCAATGAGCAAAACTGCGTGTCCCCTCATCTGAAAAGTAGCTCTTTGTATTGTATTTGCTGTCAGTTTTTCATGCACCCTGTTATTTTCCACTCCGTCCATGTTGTTTATTCTGAAGTGTCCCTGAGCGCTGTTTTCATCACATTTATCTGCCGCAGACTTGTCGTGACTACTTATCACGTCAGGGGACCAGCGCAGAGACGGTGTGGGACAGGCTCATACAAAGAGTGCACAAGGTAAGGCACGGCTATTCTTATCTCTCACATGCACACACATTCTTACACACACACGCACACATATGACTGGGTTTGTGTTGCTGTTTTATCGAGACATTTCTTTGACTTTCAGTGATTTCCTGAGACTGATTCTAACCTTAACCATAGTCACTACTTGCCTAAACTTACACCAGGCGTTACAGCGTTCTCTGACATCAAGCTGTCATGTCAAAATAAAATATTCCTGCACTAGGGCTGAACAATTTCAAGAAAAAAATTTTATTGTGATTTTTCTGACAGATATTGTGACTTCGATTTCAAGTTTCAGTGAACATGAATATTAGAAAACATCACAGAAACTTGCTTCATACCAGAGTCTTGCACCAACAATTTGACGCTGGATCGTTTGCGCACATTTGTTTACGTTTTACAGAAACAAAACTTAAAACCACATGGCTAATTTGCATAAACTATAAGCTTTGAGAAAAAAAAAAAAAAACAGTTTGCTCCTTGTGCTGCTGATGCGGTTCAGCTTCTGTCGGACTAAAGGACACGACTCGGTGGAATATTTGTGTTCTTTCTGTGACAGAGGATGTGCTGATGATGGTGAGTCTGTTCTGTGCTTCTATCGCGTTGGAGATGGTTCATGTTAAACTTTACACAAACGCGAGGTTTAAATCCTCACCTCCTCGTGTTGTGGTGGTGAATTCCTTGGTGGTGCATAGACCTCGACGCAGATCTATAAATCAAAAACGATGGCGACAAGGCGACAGCGGCAGTTTACGTTGAGTCGACACAGAACTAAACTTCGCCCTTAAAATTGGACTTTAGGAGCACTGCAAAAAAATGCAGCTTTGACGCTCTCAAAATCATGTCTGAGATCATGATTTTTGGTCCAAAACAGTAGATCATTCAGCTCTACCCTGCACACTCCTGGCACTTGGCAATTGTACTTACCCATTGTAGATAGCCACGGTATCCAAAAGTGACACAAAATGGTTGTAGTGTGAAATACCGCTGTTGTTTATCATCAAAGTTTCGTGTACATGCTAATCGTTGTCTCAAGAGTGCAGTCAGTGTACGTCAGGGGTAAACCTAACCCCCTGTAACATATTTGAACCCATATCTGAACTTTAAACCATGTAGTTGATCCTGGAATAGTCCTGGAAAAGGCATGGCATTTTAGTATTTCTTTCACACAACTACAAGGTTCTGTTAAGTTCTCATTAAGCTATTATGTTATATTTCTGTATGTATGCACCTTTTGTTTAAAAGAGACAACAATAAATGCACTGACAGTATTTTGAATGTTAAAAAACTATAATCCCAAACCATAAGGTGAGTGGAAAGAGTTAACATTTCATATTTATCCCTAAAAGTCTGATCAGTTCTACACATGTAGGTGCTGTAAAGTCATGGAAAATGCAATTAAGGTCGTGAAAAATTGTGGGAACCCTGAATAAAGGATTTGTGACAGTGGAATCTGACTTTTGTCCACATTGGGTTTGGGGTCCCCATGATGTGAGTGTGTACTAGTGTTGTTATGATACTAAAATTTCAAACTCGATTTCAATATTGAGAGATAGGAACTCAATACCGATTCTGATACCACACTGATAATAACAAACACTTTCTTTAGACAATAGAATGTGATTTTCAGTATTTAAAGAATAGTACTTTCTTTTATTTTACCATTCAGTCTTAAATCTGTGTAATACTTCAGTGGTCCAGGTAGGTTCAGTAGTGGTCCATGGATGTATACTAGTTTATGTGCTCTTATACTTGTTCTGATACCTCCCTAATACTAGTTTTAGTGTTGTTTAGTATCAGATTTTTGATACTTTCGAAAACCCTGAGGTGTACATGAATTTCAGTTCCCACACAGTGATTAAAAAACCTGTACACACACACATCTACACACTTGCTGCTGTGTCTCTGATGGACGCTCTTCACTGCAGCAGCCTGATCAGTCTATTTTCTGTCCATTCATGACTCAAATAGCGCGTACGTCATTCACAAATTGGTTCTGAGAAACATGAATTAAGGTAGTGAAGAGGTGGGAAAAAAGGTTGTCTCTTCCAGCTCCAGGTTAATACTTTCATTGTGTCCGTGGGCACGACGTTTTACTCATGGTTTTCAGAATTAGATGACGTCATAGTCCCTGGTGGGGCCAAGAGGCAGATTTCCTCATCGATGACTTTGTATTTTCCTATCCAAAATTTCCCAATTTTTAAAATATTTTATTTTTAACACGATTAACACGCAACAGTGAACACGAAATAGAGAGAACAAAGTACAATTACAAATTACATTTAAATTTATACAATATTATGGCACACTATGTCCAGCGTATGAGTCCCATTTAGTCCAAAGTTTATCAAAGAGGTCCATTTTCAAATTAAATCCAAATGTTATTTTTTCAATTTTTCAAATTTCATGAATAATTTCTGACCAGTCTATATTTTATCTAGTTTTATTTTTTTGTAGTGGTCTTTTTTTCCTGGCACTAGAAGTATGTCCCAGAGATATCCATTTATTGTGTCCATGGCAGGGGTTTTGTAGCCAGGCTGGTGCCACCTAGTGCCTCCGATCAATTTTATTTCTCTCCAGCGACTAGATCAGGAATCGGAATACACTAGACGGTTTGCAAGAACCCCGTAAGTTGTAGATCGCGCTCCGGCCAATCAGAGAAAAGCTGTGAAGCCATGACGTTAAACTCAAGCTCGTGTCCGGGTCCCTTTTGTGGTACAGCACAACAGTAAACAAAGCGGTCGAGATTAGGGATGGGCATGATTAGTCAATTAATCGATAATTGATCATTAAGAATTTCATCGATTACGTTAATTTTAATCGACAAACCGAATGCAGGTTGCTGTGCGTAGCGTCACCAAACAGGGTCCGTACATGTGTCTCTCTGCACTCAGAAGGAGCGAGACACAAACAGTCGGACAGTCTGCAACGTGCCGAAGTGCAAATGCGTATTTAACGATGACTTGTACAAGAAATTCCCCGCTTTCCGTTCCGGTCGGGACAAGTGTGAGTCCATGTGCACAGTGAACAAAGCAGGAACATATGTTTCGGTGTCCAGTGGGAAAAGGTTTTACCAGGTGAGAGAAGCGCAATGTCTATGACGAGTCCCCACCACCTAACCTGTATTCCACTGAGTCATGTCTTTTAATCCCACAGAAGTTCACCACATCAGCGACACAAGAGCTGTAGTTTTATCTTCGCTTAGTTTATGCAAATTAGCGATGCGGTTTTAAGTTTTGTTTCTGTGAGAGTTGCGCAAAACTGAATTAAACTCATTATAATGTCAAACGGGCTGATGTGGCTCTAGAGTCGTTACGGTTTATATGTCGTAAAGTTGAATTTATTTATGCAGATTAGTAGTGCAGATAGTAATAATAATGATGATCATTTTAATATAAAAACGTTAATGATTAATCGATAATCGATCGTTAATTCTTCCGACGATCGATTAAGAAAATTTCCTCGAATGCCCATCCCTAGTCGAGATGGATGTAGATGAAGACAGACATTCTGCGTTGGCAACGATTCATGAGATCGAGGATTTAAAGCCGGAACAAAGAGAATATTTGGTGAATTTTGTCAAAACGTTATTGCCCTTCTTCCTTTGGGATTTGGTGCATTACATACGTCACGACCAAATAGCAGCGATTTGTTAAATTAAAAAAAAAAGTACCTGCCTACTGTCGAGCGAACGAATCCTAATGCTGTGAGGTCAGATGGTTTCCACAACGTGAAACCAGCTGATCAATCAGGCTAGAAGTTTTGAGGCCAAGGTACACCATTTTGAAGTCAAGTGGGATACTCATATTAACAAAAGCCAGTTTGTATTGCTTTGTTAATTTCTGTTCAATATTTACGGATCACATGACAATCCCAAAAGACATGGTAATGTTGGGCCTCTTGGCAGCTACGGTTTCTTGAACATCCTGTGTTTTTCTGGGAATAATGGGCACTTCGGTGTAGTGTTATAAAAAAAATGTGATATGTTTTTCCACTCAAATTCTTTCCAGACATGTGATTTTGTGGTCCTCCATTGGGATGTAAATATATTTTCCTCATTCATCATCTGTCAGAGCAGAATTACCTTCCCTTTCCCATTTATTTTTAATGTATTTAGTAGAATGTTTGTGCTTTTATATAATTTGGTTATTATTCCCCTTGAAAGTCTTGGTTTATACGACTTAATAAAAATTTCAATCAGAGGGTTATAGTGATCAGCGTTGCTTTGTTTAAAAACTAGCCACTTCTATTTGCGACTATACCCCTGAGCTCAATATATTACAATAAAAATCTGCATTTTAACTGCCCCTTCTGTATTAAATGTTATTGCCCTATAAAATTTTGTGATGTCTTGAATCGCGGCAATTAGCAGTGAATCAGTGGATTAAAAGGTCGGTGATTTCGGCCACTATGTCCTTGAGCAAGACACTGTCCACTGGTGGACAGAGGGACCAATGGCACAAACAGAACCAGCTGTGGCTGAAAAAGTACTTTTCTGACCCTGAGTGTGGAGTGAAAGTGATATAATGCTCTGAGTACCTTGAAATATGTTATATAAATCCATTATTCTGCCATACACTATTAAAGTCTGTTGTTTCTTTTTTCAGCCGGCGTCGAAATATATAGAAGACGATTTGAAAACAAGTGATACTCAACTCTCAAATGAAGACTCCTCACAAGTCAACGGTGGTATGTTTACATAATATAACTGGATTATATAGATCTGCAGCTCTATCTTGTTGCATTAGAGGCTAAAGTCTGTGTCTATACCGTGTGAACACTGTCACATGCGTGTGCAGTCATATCTCTGTGCAGTGCATGAAGCAGGGTCATTGATACTGTGTCTGGCGTTGTTGTAACTGTGCGTAGGCTTTGTGCCCATGGCCACTGAGAGCCGACTGGCTCCTGTACCTGGCCCTATTCCCCACAGTTATCCAGTCGACAGAGAACTACAACTCCCAGAAGCCTTCACTTCCACCGCCACTCACTTCACCCCCATCATTCTGACCAGCCAGGACGCAGCGGAGAAGAGTCCCAGTGTTGGAGATGAGCTGGAGGGGTAAGGAGATACAGTATGCATTAGTTAGTACATACTGTGTATTTATTTATAGCAGAAAAAAAAAATCGAGTTGTAATATAAGTATTTAGGCATTAAATACATTACTGACATATTTCTTAACCATTTAAAATTACTCTGAGAAAATGAAACTTTTCACCACCACCAGTCACTCACTTCAGGTTGGTGAAGTGTCTTGCCTATGGACTAGAGGTGTAATGGTGCATGTATTCGTGCCGAACTGTTTCGGTACTGGGCATTCGGTTCGGTGCGCCGCTGTGCATGAGTAGGTTCATGCAATTTCTGTTGACATTCTGCCACTACATGTGCAGCTACACGGAAGTCTCGGCTCTTTAATATTCATGAGGGAACTCATCTGTGATTGAGGTGGCACTTTTCGCCTTTCACCGGCATGGAATCCCACTTTCCTTATACCTGCATTATACCTGCGACCTCTGTCCTTAAGCGAAAGTGTATTTTCAACCGCTGGGAACATTGTAACTGCAGCAGATCTACACTTACTGCAGACAATGTGGACAAGTTGTTTTTTCTGGCCAAAAATATGAAGAGTAGAGAAGAGTAAAAGTTCATTCTGGAACTGCGCTTTACTTTTTGAAAAGTTTTGTTTATGGTTTACAAGGAATTTATTTTTTTAATAACATTTTACACATTTGTTGCTTCTTTGAGAATTTTTTTTTACTTATTAGTATTACAAAGCAGCACTTTGCATTTATTTTATTTTCCCGTTTGTATTATGTTAAAACAAATTGTTGGTTTAATAAACACACAAATAAACGACAAGCAAATCGTTTAGCGTTTTGTTCCCATACTGTACCGAAAATAAACTGAACCGCAAGTTCCTATGCACTGAACCTTGATTTTTGTGGACCATTACGCCCCTAGTAAGGACACAATAACAGTTTGCATTAGAGTTACTGCCTTCCAAATGCAGCAGCTGGTTCACAGTGGTCTCCCCTGCCGGTACTAACTAGCCCCAGTTCTGCTTTGCTTTTGAGATCAAATAAGATCAGGCTTTTTTAAAGGTTGTTTTATGTGTTTGTGTGGGAGTGAGAGGTCTAATAATTCACACTAAAAGCTCCCTAACCCTTTTCAACTTTGTGTTTTCTTCAAATAATTTTTCTAAGTATAGTGCAAATAAGAAGTAAACACAAAGTTGAATACTCAAAAATAGACCAAATAAATGTTCTAAATGTAAGGCTGTGACTCTCTTGTCTTCAGGTACATGGAGGGATTCATAGACAGCAGCGAGAACATTGAGGAAATCGGCCTAGACCCATCTTCCATCTCTGAAGATCCTCCTGTAGATCCTGCCTCTTGCCCTACTGCAGAAAAGCTCGACTGTCCAGCTAAAGATGCAACTCTTACTTCAACTGACCCACCCCCAAATGACGCAGCTCCGGCGACCTTTGACTCCACCCTCCCTGAAGTCTCTCATATCGAAGTCTCTCTACCTTCATCTTTAAACTCAAACCTCAATAACTGTGGTGTATTCAACAATTACCTCTTTCGACAAGATCCCAAAACTGGACAGCTTTTCCTGGTCCCCGTTCAAATCCGAGCTCCTGATTCTGTACCGGGTCTGGAAATAAACTTATCTCTGGTGCCTCCGTCTTTAAAGGGACTCTTAGCAAATTCACAAATCAATGATAGCAGTAGCTTCAATGCTCCTCCAGGTCTGAAAAACGGGCTAGACGCTTTAGATAACAGTTGTAGCTTTTTAATTGATAATAAAGGCGAGAATGGACAAGCTAAAAGACAGACTTCAGCCTGCGTGTCTCCAGAGGTCCACCCGGCTCTACAGGAGGTGATCGACCTGCTCAAAGGGGAGTTTACGCTCAACACCGGGTTGGACAACGGACACGAGGACATCGCAATGGGTAAGGACCAGGATCACAATATAAAAGAGAAAATTGCTATTGGTGGTTTTTAGATTCTAGAGCAGGGGTGCCCAGTAATGTCGATCTCGATCTACCAGTCGATCGCCAAGGTAGTGTTGGTAGATGTGTGTCATAGTACTCATCTCAGACTCGATCACATTATCTCTTGCTCAAGGTCTTACACTCGACAAGTGCGATCGTATTTCATTCTGGCTGCTTCTGTCGGCAATAAAGTTGTACCAGTGTGCAGGAACGAGGCATCTCACTGCAGCCTGTGTGCTCATTTGAAACTCGGGGATACTGTGCGGCACAAGACTCCCTCTTCAGTGCACGCTGATTAGAAGAGCAAGACAAAATGCAAAGCAAAAACTAATCAAAGGCTACGTTCAGACTGCAGGGCTTAATGCTCAATTCAGATTTTTTATTTTTTTTTTTTGTGAAATCCAATGTTTTTGCAAGGTCATTCGCATTTCCAATTAAATGCGACTCGTATGTGATCTCCAGTGTGAACATTAAACAGCCCAAAAGTGTCCCGCATGTGCACTGGAGGACACGATGACCTCTCGTTCCGGAGCCAGAACATGTACAACTTACTTGTTTTAAGGAGGAGATTGAGAAGGAGAAGGACGAGGTTTTTGGCCGTGGTGTTTTGTGGGGCAGTCCGTTGAAAGGAACGTGTGGATGTGGAGACACAACCAAGAGTGGTGGGATAGCGATGTACTTCCCTTCAGTGACACGGAGTTCATTAACAGTTTTCGTATGACAAGAAGAAGGTTTGTGTACATTTGTCGCTTGTTGATGAATGCGCTTTGGCCGTTCAGACTGAAGTCGCATGTCAAAAGATCAGATATGTATCGGTTTCAGGAGCACATATCCAAGTGGCCTGGGTCGCATTTGAAAAAATCAGATCAGTGTCGTTCAGACTCAATAAAAGACCAGATACAGGTCACATAGGGGCCAAAAAATCAGATTTGGGTCACTTCAGGCTGCAGTCTGAAGTGCCTAAACTTATGTTACAGTGTTGGCACAGAGGATGTCCACAACACAGAACAGGCAAACCGCGACACGTGGCTGAAGTTTGCCTAATAAAAGTGCATAAAAGTGCATCTGTATTTGTCACGATGTGCGTTTGGTTTGGTAAATGTGCAGAGGCTGTTAAATACCACTGCAAAACGAGTAAGAAAATGTAACTCCAGTTAGAAACTTGAAAAAACAGGTTTAAAAATTCTACCCACTTCATTTTTTTCACAGTTTTGTGGAAAGTGCCAGTGGAAGTTCTCTTAAAGTAGAGCTTCTCAAACTGTGGGTGAGGGTCCGAAAAAGGAGTGCAGAGTGTTTAAGTGCAGTACGCTTGACTTGGTCTTTTTATAAGTAGCTTGCATGCTGAAAAAGTGTGGGCACCCCTGTTCTAGAGTGTGATTATGGTTGTGTGGTATTTTCAGGAGTGGGCTCTCAAAGGCAGTGGTGGAAGGTAATGAAGTACAAAAGTAAAAGTACGACACTTAAAGGTGGTATGGAGGATTATTTTGTCAGTGAAAGTTCAAAATAGCATGGTGGAATGTTCAGCAATTGCCGTGTTGACAGTAGCAAACTTTGTACAAAAAGTTTAGATGGCCTGAAAACTCAAGAAAAACTACAAAATGAGTTTAAACAACACATTTTCGGGAACATTCAGTTAGGTGTTCAATTTAGGTGAGAAAAAAAAGGTGAGAGTGACTAAGTGGAAACCTGTTGGCTAATACTAGTTGCTGTGTGACTGTAATTTTATGTGTGGGACACTTGTTTAACAGCACAAATCAGTTGTTCTAACTAAACCAGCTCTTTCTGCTCAGAATGTGTTAAAATAAGACACTGAGCAGTGTCTGAGTTAGCTTCACACCTCCAGAGAGTGTAGCTGCAGGCCCGATGGCAGAAATTTGGGGACCTGGGACAAGAAGGTTTACACAGCCCCCCTCTAATATAAATTACTAGGAAGATATTACTATTATTCAGGGCCCCTACAACCTTGGGATCCCGGGCAACAGACCCATTTGTCATCCCTGTCTTCTGCCCTGTGTGGAAGAATCTTTGCTGTAATTGTAGTACAGTTGTTTTATGAAGGCTTTATTTTAGATTACGACCCCAGTAGGATTTTTAAATAAAGTCACTGTGAGGTTTTAGACCTATTTTATTTTTGAATTTCATTATTGGATTAAAGTTAATTTAGTTGTTTGTTTAGTTTTCCATAATGAAAATTCCAAACTTAAATTTTACACACAGAAAATCTCAAAACTATGGAAGCCCATTTCTGCCAGTAAATAAAAAAAAATAAAAGTCTCACAGAAAGTCATAATTATGAGTTTAAAAGTCATAATAACAAGTTTTGAACTCATAATTACAAGGTTTAAACTCATAACTATGAGTTTAAAAGTCATAATTATGAGTTTTAAAGTTGACTCTCAATCTGTCCTTGTCATGCAAGTACACGGTCATTTTCCTGGAGAAGCCGTCCTCCAGGTGTTCAGGACATTTCCTCATCAACTTGTGAATGTTGTAAAAAGACAAGAAAAAGAGAGATATCCACTAGGGATGGGCATGATTAGTCGATTAATCGATAATTGATCATTAAGAATTTCATCGATTACTGTAATTTTAATCGACAAACCGAATGTAGGTTGTTGAGCGTAACATGACCAAACAGGTCCGTACATGTGTCTCTCTGCATCAGAAGGAGCGAGACACAAACAGTCAGTCAGCCTGTTACGTACCGAAGCACAAATGCGTATTTAACGATGACTTGTACTAGGGCTGGACGATATGGATCAAAAAATATATCTCGATATATTTTGCTATATCTCGATATATGTTCCAGAAAAAATAACCCCCTAAAACTCTTCGCTTAGTTTATGCAAATTAGAGATGTTTTTAAGTTTCGTTTCTGTGAGAGTTGCGCAAAACTGAATTAAACTCATTATAATGTCAAACGGGCTGATGTGGCTCTAGAGTCGTTACGGTTTATATGTCGTAAAGTTGAATTTATTTATGCAGATTAGTAATGCAGATAGTAATAATAATGATGATTATTTTAATATAAAAACGTTAATGATTAATCGATAATCGATCGTTAATTCTTCCGACGATCGATTAAGAAAATTTCATCGAATGCCCATCCCTAATATCCACACAAATCCCACATGAATGAGTACGTGCAAAGTATCCATCTATGTTACTCTGTCCATGATGTGGTTTAATCCAAAAGGGGGATGAAGCAGCTTTGATCATCGATGAAAATACAGGCGCATAGCAAATAATTTAGGTACAGTGTGAAGTGAATTAGTAAAATAACTACACATTTTTACTTGTAGTGGGATCATACAGGGCTTCTAAATGGAAAATTGCCCTCGTGCTTGCATGGCGAGAGCAGGTTCAGAGTCAACTTCGAAAACTCCTAATTATGAGTTTACTGGCGGAAATGGGCTTTCATACAAAACAGATTTCAATACTGCCAAAATAATAAAAATGTACTCTTAAATATACTCTATACTATACTAATAGTAGGTTTATTAGTTGTGTTGTTGTGACAGTAGTAGTAGTATTCGTAGTATTCGTAGTAGTAGTAGTAGTCGTAGTCGTAGTAGTAGTAGTAGTATTCGTAGTAGTAGTAGTATTCGTAGTAGTAGTAGTATTCGTAGTAGTATTCGTAGTAGTATTCGTAGTAGTATTCGTAGTATTCGTAGTAGTAGTAGTAGTATATTCGTAGTAGTAGTAGTAGTATTCGTAGTAGTAGTAGTAGTATTCGTAGTAGTAGTAGTAGTAGTAGTAGTAGTAGTAGTAGTAGTAGTAGTAGTAGTAGTAGTAGTAGTAGTAGTAGTAGTAGTAGTAGTAGTAGTAGTAGTAGTAGTAGTAGTAGTAGTAGTAGTAGTAGTAGTAGTAGTAGTAGTAGTAGTAGTAGTAGTAGTAGTAGTAGTAGTAGTAGTAGTCGTAGTAGTAGTAGTATCGTAGTAGTAGTAGTAGTAGTAGTAGTAGTAGTAGTAGTAGTAGTAGTAGTAGTAGTAGTAGTAGTAGTAGTAGTAGTTCGTAGTAGTAGTAGTAGTAGTAGTAGTAGTAGTAGTAGTAGTAGTAGTAGTAGTAGTAGTAGTAGTAGTCGTAGTAGTAGTAGTAGTAGTAGTCGTAGTAGTAGTAGTAGTAGTCGTAGTAGTAGTAGTAGTAGTAGTAGTAGTAGTAGTCGTAGTAGTAGTAGTAGTAGTAGTAGTCGTAGTAGTAGTAGTAGTAGTAGTAGTAGTAGTAGTATAGTCGTAGTAGTAGTAGTAGTAGTAGTCGTAGTAGTAGTAGTAGTAGTCGTAGTAGTAGTAGTAGTAGTAGTAGTAGTAGTAGTAGTAGTAGTAGTAGTAGTAGTAGTAGTAGTAGTAGTAGTAGTAGTAGTCGTAGTAGTAGTAGTAGTAGTAGTCGTAGTAGTAGTAGTAGTAGTAGTAGTCGTAGTAGTAGTAGTAGTAGTAGTAGTTCGCAGTAGTAGTAGTAGTAGTATTCGTAGTAGTAGTAGTAGTAGTAGTCGTAGTAGTAGTAGTAGTAGTAGTAGTAGTAGTATTCGTAGTAGTATCGTAGTAGTAGTAGTAGTAGTAGTAGTTACGCAGTAGTAGTAGTAGTATTCGCAGTAGTAGTAGTAGTATTCGCAGTACCAGTCACAGACAACCATTTAAAATCCTCTGTGTTTCTGTGTCCCGAGGGGAGTACATCTTCTCTCTAAAGGAGCTGGAGTTGTCCGTGTTTGCCGACGTGGTGAGGCAGAGGTTCAGCGACCTGTACTGGGACGAGGATCTGCTGGGAGTCCTGCACTGTCTGGTCAACTACAGCTCAACCACCATGTGAGTAACACCGAGACTCACTCTAACTCATATTTATGGACTATTCTAAGATGTTACAGCGTCAGACGAACCATAGCCATCATATAACTAATAATAATACATAATAATAATACTTTTTGTATTATTAATTTGTATAGTGCTTTTCAGGACACTCAAAAGATGCTTTACAAAACTAATATTAAAACAGTGAAAAGAACAAAAGACAAATAAAACATTAAAAGAAAACCTCCATTTTAACCAGTGGATATTTATAGTGCTTACAGTCCTTAGTCACATTTACCATAATCAGTGTTGGGAGTATTGCGTTATAAACAAATTGCTGTAATACATTACTTTTTGCTATAACGCAGTAATGTGGCATTACAGGGAAAAAAATGTCATATTTTACTGGGTACAAATGTCAGTAACACACGTCACAATGCTTTTTTTTAACCTGGATTGAAGGTTTTTTGTTATTCTTTATATAAATTCACTAAAATCATGGCGATAACAGCGGCGGTAAAACACCATCGTTACGGTTCCGAATGCGCCCACGTAGACCGTCGGGTGACTGCAGGCGAAAGGACTGATGCAGAACTTCATGACGCACGGGATTAATCACAGCTGATGCCTGATCGCGCTTTGCGGACGCCCTGCTCCACGGGCCCGCGGTTCTCTCAGGGGAGGTCCTGGTTTCCAAGTCCTAGTCCAAGATTATTCCTGGTTTGGTCCTGGTTTGGTCCTGGTTTTTTAGTCCTGGTTCAGTCCTGGTTCAGCTCTGGTTCAGTCCTGGTTTAGACCTGGTTTAGTCCTGGATTAGTCCTGGTTTAGTCCTGCTTCAGTCCTGGTTCAGTCCTGGTTCAGCTCTGGTTTAGTCCTGGTTCAGCTCTGGTTTAGTCCTAGTTTAGTCCTGGTTCAGTCCTGGTTTAGTCCTGGTTCAGTCCTAGTTTAGTCCTGGTTTAGTCCTGGTTTAGTCCTGCTTCAGTCCTGGTTCAGTCCTGGTTCAGCTCTGGTTTAGTCCTGGTTCAGCTCTGGTTTAGTCCTAGTTTAGTCCTGGTTCAGCTCTGGTTTAGTCCTGGTTCAGTCCTGGTTCAGCTCTGGTTTAGTTCTGGTTCAGTCCTGGTTCAGCTCTGGTTCAGTCCTGGTTTAGTCCTGGTTCAGTCCTAGTTTAGTCCTGGTTCAGTCCTGGTTAATATTGTAATGTAACAAATTACTTTGAAATGACAGTAACAAGTAATAAATAACGCATTAGAGGTTTTTTACTTGCCCAACAGTGACCATAATACATCAGAAATTATGTGTATTGCAGGAATTCAGTCATATCCACTTTGTCTAGTAAAATAAAAAAAAAAAAAAAAAGCAACGAAATAAAAAAATAATAAAAGGGCATTCAAATATTTCTTTGTCAGCATATGAAACTCAGTTACATGTTATTATCTCAGGAAAGCTCTGAGGACAATTACACTGGTCATAACAGCAATTATGGGTTGTAAAAGGTCAAGTGGAAAACAATCATTTCACGATGACGCATGAAGCACTTAAGGCTGTAAAACAGAAATAACTCTGACCACACAGGCAGACTTCACTCCTCACACTCGGCCTGGCCTATAAGGAAAAAAATAATAATAATCAGTGTTTTTCTTCATATTGATTGATATTAATGTGATTCTTTTTCACTTTTCAACAGTAAAATAGAAAACATATATGCATTTCTGTGGGTTTAAAGCTTCCATCTGTAATTCAATTGGCTTCCCCTGTTGTATTCTCACATATCACCACTAGATGCTGTCTCTGTTACTGCTGTCTGATAGTGCCAGGAACCAGACCACAGAGGGTGAAAATCCTCTTCATAACTTGAGACGATCCAACCACATCTGCTTGTATCATTCTTGTATCATTCAGATCAAAATAAAACAAAATATAGCTTCATTCATCTGTGATAAGTAAGAGTTTGGTGCTTTGATTGTTGATTCTGGAAAAATCTGCGCCGTTTCTCAGTCCTCTGTGTTGTTTTTTTCCCGCTTTTTTACTTGTAAGCAATAGGGTTGGGCGATAATACAGTATTACGTTATCCCGCGGTATCAAAAAGTAGCAACGGTATCAGTTTCATTACAGAAATTTAAAAAAATCTGCAGTGCGTAAGGATCTAATATAATATTATAAATTATTGATACCTAAATTTGTTCACTCAGTGTAAATGAATGTGTGGTTGTACTTTCAGTTTAATGCTTTCATGATTTAAAACTAAATTAACTAAACTGCGTGGGGAGATGACTTTCGATTAGTTTTGTTCCATTGTCACGTGACGCTCATAAGGGAGACCAAGACAAGACGGCAAGTCCGGCCACAAGCAAGTTGGTCCCAAAAGAAATACTAGTACTTCTGCAATTTGGAAGCTTTTTGGCTTCAGGTGCAAATTTGTTTACATTTTACAGAAACAAAACTTACAACCACATCACTCATTTGCAGTGTTGGGAGTAATGTATTATAAAAGTAATGTATTACAGTCATGTGTTGATTTTTGCTGTAACGCAGTAATGTAAGGCATTACAGGGGGAAAAATTGTAATATTTTACTCGGTACAAATGTGAGTAACGCGCGTTACAATGCTTTTTTAACCTGGATTGAAGTGGTGGGTTTTTCTTCATAGAAATTCGCTAAAATCACCGTGAAATCAGCAGCGGTGAAACGCCGGAGACGCGGCCGGATAGACCTTCAGTTAACCACGGGTGAAAGGACCGACCCAGAACTCTACGCTGTTTAGACCTGGTTTAGACCTGGGTCACTTCTGGTTTAGACCTGGTTTAGACCTGGGTCACTTCTGGTTTAGACCTGGTTTAGACCTGGGTCACTTCTGGTTTAGACCTGGTTTAGACCTGGGTCACTTCTGGTTTAGACCTGGTTTACAGTCGTCCCTCGCTCTAACGCGATTCACTTTTCGCGGTCTCGCTGTTTCGCTGATTTTTAGAATTTTTTTTTTGTGCAATTTTGCATGCCTTTTGTTTTTAGTGTATGAACACGTATTGCGTTCCTCCCGCTGTGTCCTGATCGGCTGAGGGACTCCTGTCTCCTCTACAGTACAGAATGTGTTCAGCTGCCAAATTTAAATAAATGTTCAATCTCTAGCAGTGTGATTGTGATTGTGAGTGCTGTATGTCTGCAAGTTTTCTCTCCGACAAAACCCACAACGTCGACAAAATGTTCTGCACCGACAAAGTCTCCTGCGCTCACACCCAAAAGACAGAGGACGATGCAAACCATCGCACAAAAAGTTGGACTTCTGGACACGTTGAAGGAAGGTAGAAGTTACGCGCTGTAGCAGAGTTTTGCACCGGGTCTTGTACCCGCAAATAGTTGCTGAAATCAGGACCGTGAGCCCGAGCAGCAGGGTCCATAAAGAGCGATCAGGCGACAGCCGCTCTTACCTCCATGAGGTGCGGAGCAAAGCCGGTCCTTTCTCCTGCGTCACCTTCGAGCCCATCCTGACAGTGAGTCCTGTTTTAGTCCTAGTTCAGTTCTGGTTTAGTCCTCCTCTTCAGTCCTGGAATCAGTCTGAGGTTAGTCCTGTTATAGTCCTGGTTTAGTCCTGGTTCAGCTCTGGTTTAGTCCTGGTTTAGACCTTGTTTAGTCCTGGTTCAGTCCATATACGGCTCAAAAGTTCAGCTTTTTCGCAGTTATTTTGGTGAGAGTAACTTAAAGTAATGCAATAGTAATGTAATGCCTTACATTTTAAATGCAGTAATATTGTAATGCAACGAATTACTTTGAAATGACAGTAATAAGTAATAAATAACGCATTACAGTTTTAAAGTAACTTGCCCAACAGTGCTCATTTGTATAAACTATAAAGCGCAGATAAAAAGTAGTTTACTAAAGTCGTACTAAAACATTTTGGTGACATGGTAATACTGTATTCCCCCGTAAAATCCTGAGAAGGTTTAACGGTATCAAAATTTGGATACTACCCAACTCCAATAAGCATCATGTTTGTTTTTGACGTGAACGGACCATCTCTCTGATTGGTCAATCTGCTTGTCAATCTGAAATCGGGGAGACCATATATGGCTCTAGATCCACTCGTCTTTGTAAAGTGTTGTCAAAGCGTGTGATTGTGGCTGGTCAGGTCATTGAGTTACTGCATTTCATCAGTGCCATTTAACATTAAAAATAGCCACATTTATTCCTCTGAATTCTGCTCCAAACCACATTTTAAGACCGAGGAAGACAGAGAATTAGCTGTAGACCTCGCTGTTACAACAACCCAAGATGATCGTTAGAAATCACCAAATCTCTATGTACTTATCCATCTATTTATCAATCTGTCTCAATTCAGATTTGATTAGCTGCCAATACTTATGCCACATGCAGCTCCTCTTACCTTTCCAGCACTTCACAGGTTAAATTTTGTGATTAAAAAAAGCATTATTGCCATTTAAAAGTGCAGTGATGACATCGAATATTATGAGAATTACATAAGAGAAGAACTGAAGCATGACAAATCAAAATAAGATGTTTGTGCCACTTGCGCAGATGGCACCAGCAGTGGGTGTAATATGATGTAATGTTCTCATGGCGCTACCAACATGCACTGCTGTTTCAGGAATAGTGCCGCCGCATGAACTACTCCTACAGCTTTAAACTCAACGTGGAAAATATTAAAGCGTAAAGATGTAAGTCTACTGTCTGACATGCCATTTACCAGACTATTTACAGATGTTTTTGTACAAATAGTAAAAAAAAAACATTAGACATTATGAGTACTTAAGTAATAAAATTGAAGAGATGTAAGAGGGTAAGAACAAAACAACATCAACATCATTCGTTTTTCAATATAAAACCAAAAATAAGAAAATGAAAAAGCAACTGTTTTCTTCATTATTTATCTCCAAAATAAAAAAAATTAAAAAAAACAGATAATGATTCGTTTTTTCAGTTTTCGATTTTGTGTTTAAATGAAGAATGGAAAAAACAGATAACGACCATTTCCCATTTACGTGACTTCCGTGACTGCGATTCCAGAC